GGAGAGGCAGAGCATATGAAATAGTTTATGGTAGAGGATCAAGGTTACCAGCTAGTTTAGATAAGTGAAGGACAGCCCAGGAGAACTGGACCTTGAAATAAAAACGGCTTTAAACAGCTATAAATGTTCTCTCTTTCGGTTTGTGTTCCTTTCAGAAAACCTACAACTTAGAATGGAATGCCAACAGTGTAACATGTGCTTATACTATTGATTTTATGTAGGATGCATATTTTCACAGTACGACTGAATATGCTGGCACTCTGGCTTGAATAACGGCTCTTATGTAATGTGTGCAAATGTGTTAAAGTTTGGTTCATAAACAGCGCCACTGGGTCTAGCTCGCTTACCTCGTCGCAGTCGCCCTCCACCATGGCATAGATGGCCTTTTTCACCAGATTAGTACCTGAAACAAAACAGTGGACTCTAAGTAAGAAGCTAAACCCATGTATGGCCTCCATCTCCAATATATTAAAGTATAATGTTACTCATCACTCTGAGTGCAGAGTCTATCTAAACGGTGCATTTGCATAAAGAGATTTGGTTGCCCGGGACAGCAGAGAAGACGGTGAAGGGAGAGACTGAATATTCTGAAGAGGAGCGCCGAGATCTCACCGATGCTTTTCCTTCTGTGTTTCGAATCCACGGCCAGCATGGCAATGTAGCCTCGACGAAACATCTTCTTATGCATGTCAAGCTTACATACAATGGCTCCGACACACTCCTGCTCCACCATGGCCTGCGAGAAATGCACACAGCAAAAAATACACGCTCAGTGGTTACGAGTGTCCACTGGGGTGGCCGCTGACAGCCTAGCAACCGTTCCTCTGAAGTTCCTGTCATCCTGCCAGTTCAGCTGGCTCCATGTGCTGACCTCTGACCTTTTTATCTTTTTTTTTTCTTTTTTTTTAAATAGCACTTCCTCTTCTGTCACATGTGGTGATCCAGCCAAAACTGGAAATGGGATGTTTTGGACCTTGATGGCCACAGAATGAAAAGAAGGCAGGCCAGTGTTTTCAAAGCAGAAAATGCTACCATGACACAGCACATGCAGAAGGAAACCTAAGGCACATTACTCTCTGCTAATACTGACGATTAGGATTTTATAATTGCTTTATGCTACAAATCTGTACATAAATGAGTGGGCTGGCACATTTCTTGATTCATTAATAACCTAAAAAACTGAATCAATGTTGGATCTGTAGCAGCAGAAGACAGGTTGTTTACTGCCTGCCAGCAGTAAAATGGAAACAAAGCTTATGAGCTGAAATGTTATTGACATGTGTGTGCTTTAGCTTCAGTGGAGGTCAGCTGTGACAGGCTTGGATGTGAAAAACAAAGCTGTCACACCCAACTCCTATAATGCTCCTGCAACTCAGAGTAACCAGTCAGACTTCATAACTGTGAGCGGTGCGTTCAATCTACTACTTACCAGAAAGCAGAGCTGCGGCCAGTTGTGGATGAAGTACCTGTACGTGTAAATTGAATAAGGCTCAGATAAGTCCTTGGTGATCAGTCTCATGATCCACGGCATCTGAAGTTCAGACTCGTAGCGGACATAGCGGATGCCGTGGTTATCCCCGGGGGAATCGCTCAAGTCGAGCCGGGCGAGCTCCTCGGCCGGCGGCTGCTGCAGGTCAGCCTGGCTCTCCTCACCGCCGGGCCCAGCTGCGTCCGGCTGCTCGTCACTCGAAGGTCTAGAGGGCGGCGTGTGGTCCAACTCTTTCCCCGCTTCGCAGGCCGCCTCAGCTGTAGTGAAACCCGGCATCCCGTTCACGCTATTGTTACCATGAGGAGAGTGACTGCCGTTTTTGGAACAGGGGCTGTGGCCTTCGTGTTGGCAGTGCTCACTATTGTTCCTAGCGGCAGAAGCCTCCTCGTTGCTGCCAATGCTGTTGTCACAGTTGTCTACGGACGATCTGGGATTGTCAGGCCGGTTTCCTACGTGCTGGTGGCTGTCAGGGTCCTCTGAGGGGCTTGACAAGCCGTTCAACTGCTGCTGCTCTCGGGCTTGCATTTTGAGGTGAAGCGCCGCCGGGCTAGCTCGCGCTAGCATGTTTTTCTGCTTCTTCTTGACCGACCTTTTGACTTCGTTTACCGACTGAGACTTCGTCCCTGTACCGGCAGGCACACACTGCTCCCCGTGGCACGCCGGCTCTCCGTCTTCCACCACCGGTTCCGCGATCCCAGCCGCGGGGAAAAGAGGAATTTCAGCCGGGGATGCAGGCAGTGCGCTACTAGGCCCAGGCGGCACTGTGGCCATCCCACTGCATTAAGGTGGTGATTGACACTTGGAAAACGTTGAACACAATTTCATCCACAAGGCGAAGGCATATACAACCAATGTACGAGCTAGTTCATCGAATATTGCATAAATCCAGGGTTTTCTGGGGCGATAACGTTTCCGCTGGCGATGGTTGTCGCTGCTTTCTCCTCGATTTCCCTGCTGCCGCAAAGTGCCGTCGCAGCAAACGCCATTGCAACGGCATTCATACACGTTTTACGACAGTAGTGTAAAGCATGGCTGTTGTACGGTTTTTCCCCACTTCCATTGCCCCCTGCCCCCCGAGCCTCTTTTTGGTCATCCTTGTGAAACTTTTTATATTGTTTGTCAAATTTATCTAACCAGTCAATATTGATATTTACCTCCTTCTATTCGCCTTTATGTTCTGTCTGCTTTAAATAATACATATGTTTGTGTCGTACCCTGCATTGCCACACTGTACTCACAACATTGTGGTAATGCAGACAGACCTCTTCAACACTGGATAAGTCAAAGGTGACTGAAGAAGTCCTTTTGCTGCCCCGTTAAACCCAAGAACATATCATTCCTTACCAGCAGAGGGCGCCAAACCGAAGCTTTAGCATATGGAATAGTTTTGTAAGCGCAACAACAGTAACACTGCATTTTCTCCACAAGATGTCGCCATTCGACCAGTTTGTCGCTTCATCCTGCAAAGAAGATGCAAGTTTGTGCGTGTATGTCCAGTAGTATCCAATCATGGCCTACTGTCCTTTCCAGAAGCATACTGTAGGCTGCTGTTAATTCATCATTCCCAGGATGCTGTGAAGCAGGAAAACCACAACTCTGCAGCAGTTCATATTACACATAACATGATAATAATACATAATTTGTTTTCTGGTTATATTTACATTTAACCATTTCCCTTAGTCTACTAAGGAACATATTCATATTCTTCTTTCACTTTTAGTACGTTTATTTCCTTTTAAGGTTTCATTTTTCCTTAACCTTTATTAGACACAAAAGTACAGAGAGCTGACAGAGAAGCATGGAAAGAGTGGAGGGAATGACATACAGGAAATGGTCTGGGGCAAGCCTCAGTAGCAGCCTTTGGCATACGGATCACCTGCTCAACCACAAAACCTATATACATTTGTCTTTGTAATCAAAATAGTCTAGGCTCACATTAGAGGAATAATCTCCAGATAAAATTTGCCAGGTGCACAAGTCATGAGTTTGAGTATTGGAACAGAGTTTGTGATATCATGTGCCAAGAAACCCCCCCAGAAAATAACAACCAAAAACAAAAATTTTACAGGAGGCAGCAGCCTGCCTGTGGAGAGCGAGAGGAGAGAGATTGTGTGCCAGCATAGGAAGGAGAAGACAACAACGCAGAAGACTGCACAGGGGTCTTTCCCCTGTTACACTGTGAGGGTGAACACAAAGTGTGAGGTCACTGAAACTCAAATGTAGCGACAGGAAGTCAAGTGATTCTGAAAAATGTTGTTACTGTACTATTCTGTTGCACACAATGGACCATGTTTTATTACCACAGTACCTGTTTCTGAGTATCGATGCTCCTCATGCCCTGGTAACTGTGTTACACATCTTTGTGTCACCACGTGCTTTTCCCCTCACAAAACACACACATTTAGGTAAGCCTGAAATCAGCATGACATTACAGAGTATTAACTTTGATATTTTTAAAATAGCAGTACAGTGCTCTAATTATTCAGTGTCAGCAGGAATTCATAGGACAAGAACTTCAGGAAACGAGAAGATAAATTATGCATTTCTAGTATCCACACAGATTCTGACCAAATATTTATATATGTTGACTCCCCTTATCTGTAAGGTTGTTTTTGGTGGTGATGACTTATTTATTTGAATCAAAGGTTTTGGGTGAGTTCATTCTAAGAGCTGTAAAAA